GGGGGGGGGGGGGGGGGGGGGGGGGGGAAAGAGATATACTTTAAAGAAATGGAATTCTTAGGAATTGGTGAAAATTTGCTAAGCGTGAAAACATGTGGTACGTTTCAGCTGTATTAATTGTGTTTTAATTTCTACTGTTTTCGTACTGTTTCAGAGTAAATGTCATTTGAAACATCCACCAGGTAATGAAATTTATCGCTCCGATCACCTATCATTTTTTGAAATTGACGGAAGAAAAAATAAGGTAAATTTGCTTATTTTTTACTGTTTTATGTACTTTTTGGCAAAAAACCGATGCACAAAATAATAGTAAGCTCTATCGTCTCTGTCGTTTATGCCGTCCCTTTCATGGCCATGCAATGATAGGGTTGTAAAAAATGTAAAAAAAAATATTTTTTTGGTATTCCGGTTTACTTTCCGAATCCAACCGCTTTTTCGAATCAGCAACTAGCGATATAGCTCCAAATCTAACTCTTTATTTATCTTTGTTCTTTTTCTGAAGTAAATATAGCTGTCCAAAAGTTCGTCGAGCCATTTTTCGGAACTGAGGACTGTAAGCATTACATTTAAGATATATGCCCAAAATCTATGTTTGTTGGCGAAGCTTTTTCTGGATCACAAAACTCTGTATTACGATACCGATCCATTTCTGTTTTATATTTTAACGGAACAGGACGATCGTGGCTTTCATATTGTTGGATACTTTTCGAAGGTATGTAGATTTTTGTGCGAAACACTGCTAATCATTGTGATTTATGCAGCATCGTGAACCTGCAATGATCATTATTAGTCTGACAAATTTTACAGCGTTCACTGCTGATTGCTTTTACCTGGAAAGTTGGAAAATAGCAGTGGTCGGGATGAAATGGTGATATCCAAATATTAGAATCGAAAATAAGGGATTAGTCTAAATAACACGTGCGACGCAAACATATTAGGAAGCAGCCTCAGTGTTCATCCCTTAGTTGTAAACACAAAGTATGGTTAGAAGTGGGAATCATCAGTACAAGACAATTGCTAAAACTCGGCTTGGCTGGGCTCGACCGGTGCCATACACGATTTGCGAAAATTTTTTTTGGCAAAGACGGGCAGGATTATCCATTGGCAAGAAGCGGGAGTTCAAATGTAACAGGTGGAGGAGTGGGGTGGTATACTCTGAGTTTCGCGGGGAAAAAAAGGGGGGGGGGCTAGGATAGGTGGACTTTGCTTGTATTAACGTAGGTCCTTTGTCGGTTGGCTAGTTCACGTACATTTTAGCAAATCGTGCGCCCTTCGAATTTTTGATGTGTTAATTACATAT